CGCACACTGTTTTTTTTTGCACGGCCAACACTGGGACTTATTCTCGCACTGGCAAACATAAAACCAACCATTTCAGCTTGAATTCCCTAAACAGACAAGCGTTGACAGGAATAGACCAATGTAGTGATGGAGGGATGTGAATGTCACATGTTTTCAGTATAATATACACCGCCCTTCTATTTCTATCTCCACCCCTCCGTCAAGTGTCAATTCTGCTCCACCGCAATCAATCAGTTATTTGTCAAACGCTGTCAATCCGGCGCTTGATTTATGTCAGCTATTGTGGCTGATTACATGCCAGTGTGACTGCAGGAGAAGAACAAATGGGGAGATAGACGTTCTGCAGGAGACACAAAGTTTTAGGAGGAAATAAATCCATTCTCCATTTAAATGTTAGATTATTCAGCCAAACGACCTCACCAGCCTTGATAGAGAAAAAAGCAAAAATCTTATTAAACTACTTTTTTTTATTCTGTAGGCTATGCTGTTCAAAAAAGTATGTAACTTTCCGAGTTAGTCATTAAACCCTTCGGAAGAGACACACATGATGAAACTATAATAACTTGCAGACAGTCCTCACATGTTCTATGAAGTAGCTGTTAGGGCTTTACGGTGCTAAAGTGCTTTTCCTGTAATCGGCCGATTATGGTGTCAACAAGAAGCCTTGGGAAGAAAAAACCCCTGAAAAAACTGTTTCCTTAACAAAATAAATCTGAATTAAAAATGTAAACAATAATCTATAATTAATAAAATAGAAAGTTAACAATAAAAAAATATTAGTATGAACATTTTCAACTTTATTTAATGTTTCGTATCCTTCCGAGATGCGTTAGTTTAAACAACCTGAAGGGTAAACTCTCATTCAGAAATGATAATGTGCAACAACCCGGTGAAACATCACGGTCTCTCAAAACAGAACCCTGTCCATTTCGGCTAAACGCATCTGCTATTGTGTTGTTAAAACCTGTCATCTGCCTCGGGCACACTGTCATCTGCAACAAGAATAACAAAGACAGGGGACAAAAAGAAATCCAGACATTTTATATTGATGTCAGCTCGATTTTATTTACATACAATGAAAATGATTTATTTTCTTTAAGAGGTGGAGAAGCGGACAGGGAGAAAGAAAAGAAGAGGAATGGTCTGTCAGGCCGTTGAGAAAAGAAGTTTAAAATGCCTTGAACTATTCACCGCTGAGATGGCTAATCAGTATTGAGGCTCCAGGGCAATCGGGCAGCTTTTCAATGCGGTTTTCCTTTCATCTCAATCGGGATGGAGGCGCTCAATTAAAAGCCTATCAGTTTGTAAGTAAATCAACGCCTATCAAAGTTGTCACATCAAACAAAACGATTATTATTGCAACCCGCCTCTGCCATTAATCTCTTTCTGTGGTAATCTGCTTGACAGGTCAACTTGGAGAGCAAGAAAACCTGGAGTGGACAGTCAAGGGGCCAAATATATGATGTTGGTGGAAAACAAAACAAAAACGACATCCTATAAATAAAACACACAATGTATTGGAGTTCATAATATGCCGCAAACGCAATTTAGGATTACATTTATAGGCAACTGAGTTAAATAATATTAAAAAAATATTCCCAAACATTGTAAAAAGTAGAATACACTACAAAAAAAAAGAAATAAAAAGGACTGTTAAACAACAATAAGACAAATGTTTTTAGTTAACAGTTAAAAAACATTGACTTTTACTTATAGGCCTACACTGGTCTGCATGGCTGGCTACAGTTTTGCAAACTATGAATTTAAAAAACAAGTCCTAATTATATGTTCTATGATGAATAGGTCATCATTTTGTGTTATAAATAAACAGTAGCTCAAAAGCAAATGTATTTTAATGTGAGAGTTTGGGGCAAAAGTCTAAATGAGCTCATCTCTATTTCTTTAAATGTTTTCAATGTTGTCTGACAAAAAAAAGGGGGGGACGTTTCACAATATGCAAAGATGTGTGATTGATAACAGGCTTGCTGTTTTCTGCAAGGGCTGTCAGTCCGTGACACAATATGTGAGTTATTAGGGCAAAGAAGGGCAACCATAAATTTTCACTGTCAGGCGAAAACCCTCTTTATTGTCCGTATGACGAATGGGCTTCTGCACCAGACACCAAAATACTCGGCATTCCCCTTAAATGGGAACACGTTTTTGCGACCATAATTCATGATATTTAAATAGAAAGTTTTAATATCCCTATATATTTCATAACACGGACATGTTTATGAATCACTCTCTGCATGCAAATACAACTATGTACATCTTGTGGGGAAATAGGTTGGACTTGCAGTTTAACTGTTAACTATATTATGCTGTGCCGTCTTCTTGCTATGGAGCAAAAAAAGCAAATTTCCATGATTTATTTATATAAATCAACATTGAAAAGTGTTTGTGTATTTAAAATTTAAATTACACAATTTAACAACTTTCCTAAGTGGACCTTCAAAGTATATTTATACTTTTACCAAAGCACTTTTATTTAACAGGCTCATGGTATTTTGAAGCTGTAAATTAAAGGAAGTTATTTTTTATCATTTTGGTTTCAGTCCGTTTTCACTCTATTAAATTACTGTGTGGCGAAATACTAGCAATAACCGAACAACTTTTTTTAATAGACGCACAACATGTTACAATATCAGATAACAGAAATTGAATAAATAGGAGACATACAAACATTTTAAAACACATGCATGCATAAAGTATTACATATTTTAGTAAAACCCAGAGGAGGATGAAGAACAGGTTTACAGGAAAGTCCGTGACGACATTACCTGGAATCATTTCCTACTAAGCTCCGATGTAAAACGTAGACAGGCAAGAGGATAACAAATAACACTGTAACGACTTAAGACGCAGTCCTTCTTTTTAAACGAAACAATTTGGCATTACACAAACACATCAGCTTTCACATGGTGTACAATGTGAAGCACTGCAGGCGCAAGGCACAGTGAGACCGGAGCCATGCAGACCCTCGCGGCTCACGCTCTCTCTCCGGCAGGCTGCAGAGGGAAAGCGAGCTTTTCCGCGTGTGGGAGGTCCCACGTGACGTCACACAACATGCAGTGAAGCTCAGGAACAACATGGTGTTCTCAAACTTCATGATTCTCTCCAGAGTGCCACTATGTACCTCAGATTATGCAGGTATGCCCCCATACTTCATCAGAGCACTACAGCAAGTATTTACTTATTAGCTTCAAGAAGTAAACATAGCAGTGAGTTAGCTGCTTTAGGTCGCAAAGTCTGCTTGTATGTTGACATGCTCTCAGAGCACAGTGGATCATAAAATAACAATATAATGTGTGAGAGTGTATGAATAACGAATATTTTGGTGAATCAGTGTGTCAAAAAATAATATGTTTAACCTATCAGATTCCGATACGGTGTTTATATATAGTCCACATATGGAAAAAGTTAAGGATATGTATACAGAGTGACTTTAAATCTAATCTTAGACTAGACCAAGACACATACACAAGATATTTGCAATATTTAAAAATTAGTCATTGTTAATACACATTGTTGCACTACTTTACAAACCAGCAAAGCCAAAAACAAAAATGTTATTAGGATCAAGGTTGGTCTGTCTAACATGAGTTTACAATTATACAATATTGTTACAATCAAGAGGTTAGTAGCCTACCATTCAAAGCTTAACTGCTGTAATATCCATGGCCTATTGACTATAACCATAAGTAAAACTTGTTGCCCATATTGTTAAATGTATCATTATTTTGCCATGCCAAGCGCGAAGCCCATATCATTCCTTCAGATTTATTCTACCAAGCAAAGAAGGAGTTTTGTCCCTATTGTTCTTCTGTCCATGCTGCCATTTCATTTTATGTTCCATTTTAAACGGCCCTTTTGGGGAAAATTAAAACTCAAATATTATACTCCAAAACTATGGATGGGTGAACAGGAGCATAGGTTTTGAATCAGTCACCAAATACAATATGGGTTTTACTCCTGCTTCCACATCTGTCTTCACTGAAACAGACATATTGTTTTGTCTTTGACCTTTGCACTATAACTAACAAAAACAAACCTGTTTTCCTATTTACCCCTGGTGGTGAGTGATAATATAACTTTTATATGATTTCCTCAGATTCTGAAATATATGGCAGTGAGAGCTTTGCCTTAATCTGGCAATAAAATGACATTTAGAAGAATTGTGTTTGTCACACGCACACATCAAGGCAACATCTGAACTGTTTTTATTGGAACTTTTTATGATAGAAAACTCTACCAACCCTTTGAACAGACAAAGCAGACAGACAGCTGATTAACATGGGGCTTAGCATTATAGGGTTCTAAAAAATATAAATTATGCAGGGCTACATGGATTAATTCATACAACAGGGGGAACGCATGCTTTGTCATTAGTAGCTTTTTGAAAACCATATTGTTTTAGGTTTGCCACACAAATATCTTCATCAATAACTATTTGTTATTGCATCTCAGGTAGGCTACTGTAAATCCCACTCCTAACAGTGCGAAAGTAGTACTAGTCTAGCTAACACACCTCTGCTTTAGCTGTTTGGCGACACTCAATGAGGGTGTTGTTGCTGCATACAGATTGTAAAGTCCCTGGCAAATTCAGCAAAATTGTGATAGTGGGCTGGAAAAAAAGACCTCAAATTAAGGCATTACATTCAGTTAAATGGATTCTTGAACCATGATATAGAAGATATTTACAACTTCTCTTGGTAGGCTACTTTGTATAGTCACTTGAAAACATGCAGGCTATTCCTGCAGTTTATCAGGTGCTATAGTCTACCTGGCTGTTAAGAGTTTGTTATAAAAAAACACATTTGTCTTCTTTAAAATGTGAAGGTGTTTTAATTTAAACCATACGTGTTTCTCAAATGCTTGAAGGGTACTGTCTATTCATCCAGAGGCAGTCAGCAGCACTCAAATTCTACCCCTAAAAAACACTGTGTCCGCGTGCTTACAGTCTGGTGCTTCCGCAAAACAGTGGGTCAGCTGATTCAAACGGCACGCGGAAACTGTAAAGTCAATTTTGAAAGCGCCAGTAGCTCTCCAAAGTAGCCGGGCTAAAACCACAAATAGGCATTATTTTATGTTGACAGCAGCGGGTTTCTGAGCAGAACTTTGGATATCAACTCAGATAGCGTATCCTGAAAATACAGAAACCGATCTGTCATCCTCAGGAGAAAGTGATGGCACATAACGAGTCGTTGGTCGCTTTGAATGGGACTCAAGTAAGTTTGTTTTGGGAAATGTTTCTGTCTGACTTCGCCCCTATTGCTTTACTCAGGCTTACGTTATCAGTGATCGTTTAAAAAGTGGAGATTACCAGTGCTGAATGTATACGGGGATTTGTTTATTTCCTATACCTATGACCGGTGTCATGTGACACACTGTAGCCAACGTTACAGTGACTTTCAGTTTAACGGATCCTCCTACAATTTATCTGGAGAGCATAATGCCTCCAATATGCATCAATAACATGCAACTTAATACAAATATTGAAGTGTTGCAGACTGTACAATGATCATTTGAAAGGTTTTGGAAAAGTATTATTTTGCAACATGAATAGCATGGCTGCAGTACACACTTCTGCACCTAGCCTTCATCCTCACTGTGTGGTTCACTGATGATTCTTTATCATTCTATATCATTCATATTGTTATACATTCTGTATGAACAGTACCATTTAGCATGTCAGGGGTGTGTTTGTATTATTGCTACTTGTCTCTCTTTCTTTTTATTTTTAAAGATTTCCTACATCGGACATGACTGCAAGGACATCCCAGACTTTCTTGGGGACACATATGGCCTGTTTGCAAGAAGATTGGATCTAAGCTTCAACCAGCTCAGGTAGATGACAGATGCTAAGGTGTAGTCTTGGATGCACATGCTGTCTGTCTGTCTGTCTGTCTGTCTGTCTGTCTGTCTGTCTGTCTGTCTGTCTGTCTGTCTGTCTGTCTCAGTTTGTAGCTGGTAGACATGCATCTCTACATCTCTACATCAGGAGGAATTGAATGTGTGCTGTGGGTATATAGGTGGTCAGAGTGTCATCATGACATCAAAGTGCTGAATGAGTGTTATTGCTGGGCTGGTGCCACGCTGGGGCAGGATAAAAGGCTTGATCGATTAATGTGACATGCTAATTCGGGGGCAAATAGAAGAAAAGATTCCTCTGTCAGGACATGAAGGAACACCTCATGGCAGCTGCTTCAGAGGGGGCTGCCATTTCAACAGCAGGACTAGCACAGTTGATCTGGCAAGTAAAAGAAAGGAGATGATGGTTATAAGGTGCTCTTGTCTCTGAACCCTTTTCATGACTGTCAGGCACATGAAGCCGTCTCAAAAGAGGCACTTTTTTGTTGAAGTCTTTTGTCTTGTGGCAGTGCTTGATGTGTGTAGTCCTCAATAGAACTGATTCAAATTGCATCATACTGCATAATCATTGCAGTACTGATGCACTACACACAGTGTTCTGTCAGGCTGCAAAAATCTGCTGTATGGGTTTATGTTTATGCTTATTAAGGATCCCCATTAGCTTTTGCTCTCGACAAAAGGTCCGAAACTTAAAGCAATACAACAATAATACAACAATAATACAGCAACATTTAGGACATAAGTCCTGACATCATTAACAACATTAACAACATCACCAATATCATCAGCAACATGCGATCAAATTCAATCTGGGTTCACAGCTCACAAGGGTCATTAGTAGATGGCCCTTCAACCTCTTCTTGAAAGAGGCTCTGGACTCTATTTCAGCAAGGTAGTTTGGCAATGAGTTCCATTCCTTTATAGCTCTATAAGACACAGAAGATTTCAGAAGATTTGTCCTGGGTTTAGGTGCCAGTAGATGGCCTGATGTAGCTTGTCTAGTCTTATGGTCATGCTCGTCTCTTGTGTAAACTATTTGATCATAAAAATACAGTGTTTGTTTGCTAAATTGGACATTTATGGACATAATTTGGGTCAGCTCTTTAAGTACCTTTGAGCAAGATCCTTTGAATGTGTATAGCTGTGTGACATAGAGACAGCCTTTGAAACATATTCTTTTGATTTTGACACATACAACCTGAGGCCTACTGACCTAAAATGGACTGTATTTATGAGTTCACACAGTTTAGCATGTATGCGGTTCACCTTTACAGAAGGTAGTGTCTATGAAGACTACTATAAGGATAGTTAAGTATGGCGGCTGCCCTTGTTAAAAGGATCCTCAATATACAGAAAAATATAATTGCATGTGTTGTTTTAAATATGGTAAGAAATGTGTTGAAAAGGTGATAGAAGAATTCAACAGAATTGATGAATAACATTGTTTGATATTTGACTTCCCCTGTCTCTTTAGTGTACAACACAAATTGGGTTAGGGTTTGTTTCTGTACTTTCTAGCAGTGTTACCTTTTTTACAATCTGCTATGAGGCTATTAAGTTAAATGCCATCATAACTAACAGATGGGAATAGCTTGAACCGATAACAGTTGGTATAATACAGTATTTTTGTTCTTAAACTTGTTATACGTCCAGATTCTTGCAGGTATATTTACAACATTGACCAATATTGTGGTCCAAATGAACTTTGTCATTTGTATGGCACCACAAAAATATTAGCAAATGTTACCCTGCATTTATTTACAGTATAGGGAACTGTTTTAATGCTTAATGTCTTGGCGTTACCTCAGAAGAAACGATCTTATGTCTTTATGAAATCCGACTGAAACAACCCTTTTGTGTGTAGCTTTCAGTGAGATCAAGGCTGGCATTATGTTTCTCGCCTTTGAACCCGTCACATTTAAGGACGTGATGTTCAGAATCAAATATTTATGACTCAGATATTATTAATTCATTCATAATTTCAGTTTGCCTAATCTCAGATGTCAGATATCATTACTAAACTTCAAAGGGTGGTATGGGCAGAGCAATGAAGTGGTGCTCAAACCTTTTGGGGCTCATTCAGTGGAATATTGATTGATGGCTGCTTGTGAGCAAAATGATTTCTTACATAGGGCTTCATATTATTCTCCTATATACAGTAGGTTTAAATAGCTCATCATAAGCACAGCATGATCTCTTTATCTCTATCAGTATCCATAGCTATAAAATATAAATGTCTAACCTGCTATGAAAACCTTAGCACCAAACACACACTCCCATTACAAATGTATGTATATATCCACTATTGTTTCTTACATTTGTTCTGTCACTATTGGTGTCTGTGGGTGATCACATGACAACATTGGGAGGTCACGAGTGGGTCGAGTTGTGAAATTCATTAAGCAGCTCAACATGTGATAAAGTGTTATGCTAACTAAGGCATAGCCACCCACTCAGTAGTTTGATCCCCATAAGAATGCATCTCATAGACAGGGGCCCCAGACTCACAGCTTATTGGTGAAAAACGTTCCACAAAATGTTACGCATTTCTGCACCCTGCAAACCTTTTCAGTTTGTGGTGAGGACAAAATCAAATACTACACTATTACTTGGCACACTATATTGATATAAATAGTTAAACTATAAATGTCAGCACACACAGCTTCTTATGGCTTAATTACATGTAAAGGCACACATTTAGAATAGAATAGAAATGAACCTTCCATATATTAGGAAGTGTAATTCTTTTTTTGTTGTTGTGTATAGTAAATTAGATTCTCACATATCTTTAAGCCATTATAGCTACATACTGATCATGCTTCCTTAAAAAAGGACAACATTCAACCTAAGCCTCATCGTCATATGACATTGTCCATAATTACAAATTGTATTTTACTTTGTAACACAATATTATGTAACCATTTTCTCCCTAGCTTCAACTTTCAGGAATCTATGACATGCATGTCAGATAGTTGAGAAATCTTTGTATTGACACTATGACCTTGTTTCAGTGTCAGCTCTAGCAACCAGGTGCAAACAGATGCACATGTTGTTGAGACTCTGTGGTCTGCCTTCAGCATCATGTACTTCTTCATGCTGCTCAACTCAAATTGAGAGCGAGGCATTGCCAGAGTTTGTTGTAGCTAATGTGCTTATTTCTGTCAGCTCAATTGACAACACTCATCCAGCCACCTGACAATGAGCCACAATGAGAAGAAATGTACTGGCACCTTTGCTGTGTGTTTGTGTGCGTGTTGCACATATGTTTATGTTTGTGTGTATGCTTGCCCATGTTTGCTTGCATGCAGTGTTTGTGCATCTGTCTCTGTGAGCATAACTGTGAGTGGCTGGGCAGGTAATGGCAGGATGGAATTATGGTAGCAGGCTGTCACACCCACACCTCTCGCTCTGTGTGCTGCACTGTCAGCCTATCTCATCAATGTGTTGAGAAGTGTGGCTCACGGTGAGATTTCTGTCTCGGGACGGGCTTGGATAGTATTGTGTCGTCCACTTTGTTCCAGGTCAGGTGTGTACACAATGCAGAGTGGGCATGTGCTGTCTTGACATGATCCCTCGCTGTGACTCGGGTGCACTTTGGGTGCCTGCATCTGTTACTTGCAGTGCTGGACACATGAGGTTTGAGGAGGACACATGTCATCACAGGATGAAACCTAATGTTATTAGACCTGAGGATAAAGGTCGTCACTGTTCTGACATGGCATCTAATAAACAAATCACATTTATGCAATGGCAGCTCTTGCACAACCTTAGACCTAACCTGAAAGTGATCTTAGATTTGTTTTCGCCAGTTATATATCTGCCCGTCACTTGTCCTCTCACCACATGTGATGGCTATTACTGTAAATTGAATGTAAAATGTTGCTCCCAACTGTCAAATATTTGCTTTAGTTGATCATAATGTTGATCATTCCAGTTGATCTAATCTGTCAAACAATTGCTATCTACAGCAGGACTTGATTACATTCAAGTGCTTAGAAGTGTACACCAACATAGGAACATCTGTACAAACTATTACAACAAAAGCCTTAAAATAATGACCACTTTTAGCATTATTCACTTTGTTGCGACCCTTTCAGAGAGGTTTTATTCAACAATATTATTGTCTTGTCAATGGCTGCATGCGATTGAGTAATTATTAGTGGCATTGCAGTTTCACCATAGGTTAAGACTCCAATAAAGTGTAGATGAATATGCTCTGAAATCTTAATGCACACACTTAAAGCAACCACGGATGCATTCGGAGGAAATTTACCATTTGTTTACAGGGAATCCAGTTAACCTGTGGCACTGGTACTTGACTCTCTCCTTCATCAATTGAAGAGGTTGATCTGTATACTGTCTACAGTTAGACAAGGACATTTAACACACCCGGTTAGCAACATAAATAATGTGTTTAATGCCAAGCCTCAATTAGCATGCATCCCATCCTGATCTTGCTATGTTGTCTTTTTATCTGTTCGCCAAGTAGACATACAATTGGAGCAAAGCAGCTGTCTTTAATTTTCCGACCACAAATAACCTTAATTTATTTATGCCCAGAATAATGTGTAGCAGATGAACTCCTGACTCTAGACTTTTAAGTCGAAATTCAGCCTGCCATTAAGAAAGAGGGGTCCATATTGTACTTTTGCATTGCAGATTAACCTCAGCTACCTGTGTATGTGTGTGTACAGTATGTGTGTGTCTGTGAGTATCTGAGGGGGTATGTGTTCACCCGGGCTATGTTGGTGATGGCAGGCGTTTTGCATTTTAATGACAAATCAAGTATGCTAACTCGCGCTTTAAAACGAAAGTGCTCTAAATGTCGCCTGGCTGTCAAAATGAGATGTAAGTAGTCTGATGAAAAGAGAACAAAGAAGACAAAGTAGGGAGGCCCGGTACACTGAGAAATGAAATAAAACCTTGTATGGCCTGTCAGCTGTGTCGTTTTATATTCATATCTAAAGAACATTATA